ATCAATTAATAGTATCATAACATTATGAGTGAATGTATAATAATATAATGTGTACTTAGAACCATTATGTTTTGTGTTATATCTTAATGTCTTTTAAATAAAATAATTTAATATCATTATTAATCAGTATGATTAATATTATATCACTATTAATATAAATATAATATCATACCTACATAAATTAGAATCATCTTGAATGTTATGCAGTAGTAGTATATATAAAGTACGGTTAGTACATAATTATGTAGAGTGAATATTTTGTCAATATTGCTCTCGGCATAATGTAATAGGCACATTGAGACTAATCAAGATTCCAACATCGTTAAATTTAATGCCAGTGCCACATCATGCTCCGAGCTCTCAAACAATTAATCTAATAAAAAAATCGCAATTTTCGACATGAATTCTGATTGCCTATTACTGTGCATAGAGCCTGGAGAGTGAAAAATTCTGCAAATACAATGTTTTACGTGTCCCTTGCCTGAAACACTCGCATCCTGATAATCACTTGGAATATACTCATGATTGTCGGTTTATCGCTGGGGTCAAGCGATACGTGAGGAACTAGTATCCATCTACGTCTCTCGTTATTAACGAGCATTATCACATAAGTGCAAAGAGTTTTTTTTTTTCATCAGGAAATTTGTTTTACTGAGTGCTTTCGATGGTAAACAAACTCATTTATCATATATTGCTGTCTTCGTTTAGCTACAATTTTATCAACTTGATCACATCACAATAACAAACATTATTAGCATCCCCTTAACATCTGTTATTAATCATTAACTTAATTAGTATTGTTATTTTAGTCATCAAAATAGCCATACAGAAAGCTTGACGTAGTTTAATAAATATAGAACGTCTAGAGCCCCGTTCCGCAACCTTTTTATCCCACGACCCAAATTATATGTCAAGCACTCGGACGCGACCCATCAAACCGGAAGCCAAATTTCTCACCTGAATTTCATGGTGAAATGATTGAATACGGTATTATTATTTTTTAGTTTGAGTGAATTAAGTCAATAAATCATGTCCGACGTTTTATACGCACGAGGGATATCAGAATAACCCACTCGATTCTTTTGGCAATCGATTAAAAGATAGGCCTACTCCAAAGATCACCCACACAATCAATTTAAAACCAATAAAAATTAAAATATAGCTTTGAATTATGCTTATCTTATCAAATGTTCCAATAAGATTTTTTTTAATGAATAATTTACTGACATTTTACTATAGGCCTACACAAATTCATAGATTTTCTGCCAGAAATATGGGTTAGGTCTATGCAAAGACACATTAAATTGAAGAGAAAAATTTTTTGTCATTATAATTTTCAGCTGAAAGGCAACCACACTGAAAGGAACAAAGTAACACTTTCAAGTTGTCATATATGATTGGATAGTATATTAGTTAACATAATATAAAGTGCTTTGTAACCTAACGGAATGGGCGCTATATAAATACTAAAATAACAAAATAACAGATGAAATTATTACAAATGCATTAAAAAAGTAAACTGCACTTTTGTTTACTGTAATTTGATTTCGTTTGTCCTTGTTCGTATTAAGTAGAGTTTTCATGATCTGAAGAGATTATGCGACCCATCTAAATGTTTCCGCAACCCAAACATTGGTTCACGACCCATAGGTTGCAGAACGGTGGTCTTGAGGGATCCATGGTCAATAAGGCGTTATGGTTTTGTTATTCTTATTACTATTATTATCATTAATAATGAAGAATTACCATGCCAATAATTGTTGCATTTAAAAACTATAATAATAAATAAAAATATAGATGGATTTTGAATACAGTAAAACAAATTAGAACAAGCAATTTATCAAAATAAAAACCAATTCAAATTTATGTTGACTAATGCAAGTTAAGCTTGCGTAAGCCAATATAAATCAAAATTGTTTTTATGTCGTCGATACAATTTACTTTTTTAATCTATCTAAAAAAATTACAAAAGATATAGATTGTAAGAGATTCTCCTCTAAGACATAACTACATTGCTTTATCTATCTTCAAGTTGTAAATCACACCTCACTGTCCTATTAACCGTAACGTTTGGTGATTCTCATTAAAATACGCTAACGATAGATAACATCAATATTTAGTTCAATGCACTTTGATTAAAAGAAAATATAATTGACAAACTAAATAGGTAAAAATTAATATTTGTCAATTAGAGAATAAAAATCAGAGAAGAAATATCAAAATTGTAATGTTAAACAGTTAATTCTCTGATTTCAATAAATTTCTTTTCAGTGAGGGGAGAAAGATTTACACCTGATGTTCGTCCCTCACACACATTTTCTCCACTATATAACATGGCCAAATCCGCAGATAGTAGGGAGGATTTGCCGTGCGACAAGCTGGCTTACCACTGATCCGCATGGTACTTGCGCTGGAACTTTGTGACAGGCCCGGCAGCTCGGATAGACAGGTCGTTGGTGTGGAAGTTTGCATCAATTACGAGTCTTCCATCAAAGACTAAACAGCTGTCATTAATAGCTGTCAAAAAATATAAATTACATTAATTAAAGATGATTGTAACAATCATCATCAATAAAACCATCAGATCCAGCACCAAACAACCACAACTCACGTCCATTTAGAGAAAACGTTGACTACAACAGTTTGGTTGTAGCACATGTACCATAACTGATGCGCATAGAAATTAACCAGGTTTCCTTCTTTATAATTGGAACCCAACACATTGAAAACACGGAAGACCTAAAACCACATGGAAAAAATGTGATCAAGTGGGATTTAGACAGAATTTCCACTTCCTTAAAGTTAATACTTTAAAAATGGTTTAGTAAATCATTTACAAACATTATCCATTATTAATAATTATGATAATTATAATAAAAAAAATTAAAATATAGCAGTTAAAATAGTGTATAAATCTTAACTCTAATAAAGGTAATAATAATGAATTCATTTACCAATAGATAAGCATAATAATTATTAATATTAGGGAGAAATAATATTTATTAAATGGTACTAAGAATTGATGATGCTGTTTAATGAGAGCGGTTAAAATGGAGGTATTATTTTGTGTGCATTCAACCATGGATATATTTATGTCCTGGTTGTATCACATCAAGCTTCTCTTATTGTAAAATACAGGTTACAGTAATAAGCAGACTGTCTTTCAGAAGAGATCATTAAATTGTTAGTCGATGTACAACATAGCAAATTATATAATATATAGAACGCTGTACCAGTGGTGGCGCCAGAGGGGCTGGGGGCTATAGCCCCCCGTCGGGGAGGCATAGCCCCAACCCCCCCCACCCCTGATTTCAACATTAGAAAGCATAGCCTACATAAGTCATATTATAGTAACTCGATGCATATCAAATAAGTAATAAGAATTCACCATAATTCATCAAATATCCATGGCGGCTTCCAGGGGGCTTCGTCCCCTGGACCCCCACCGAGGGGCCTAGGCGGCCCCCCTGGCCCCAGCCAAGTGAGACTCGATTCGCTCCACTTCCCCCCCCCCCCCCGTCGGGACCTTTAACCCCTCCGTCGGGCAGATCCTGGTGCCACCACTGCGCTGTACACTTTTTGGAAAAGAGCAGGGGATTGTCTTCAGTACATCGCTTAATTCACCAGCAGAGGTGGCCCTAAACTTGGACTACTGTTGCTCCTCAGCGATAATTATTCAAGTTGTCCAACAAAGACCAAATCGCCGTTAGATGTTAGAAGGAACTTTTAAAATATTTAGACAATACTACAGACCATCCCGCCAGTGACAGAAAGAGAAGGCCCAGAAAAGTGGAAAGCACTATCAGTTATACAACATGCTTGATGATGATGATATTATCATTTTTAATTACTTCTGTTAATTTATATAATAAAGTTTTTTCTAATATTATTACTATACTAACCTTTAAATGCCTCGTAATCTACCGCTTTCCTGTAGAAACAGAAAAACACCGAACATTCCAGTTTCAGTGGTTTCGTGTCGGACGTAAACGACACACAGTACACTTCTTCCGCACTTTTCCCATCATTCCACTGAGCGAGATAATACCCATCATGCACCTGAACATCCTCGTCAGCTAAGGCAGCATTGACAGCCGTCTCAATGGCGCTGTTGTTAAAACAGGACGGATTGTAGTTGGGAGGTGGGTGAACTAAGTGAATACGTGAGCCAGCAACACCGACCTTCAGTAGAGACTGCACGGTCGTGTAAGCATCCAGACTGGATCCATACACAATGGCGTTTCCTGAGAAAATAAAAATTATAGGTTTTCGTTAGAATAATGTGTACACTTTGTTATTCCCTTTTATAAAGTCTCTTTGCAGCTTGACTTGCAGGGGAAGATTTAGGGGCCCCCCCCCACCACTTTTGGAAAGTGTAAAAAAAAAAAAAAAAAAAGGGAGAAAAAAAAAAGAAAGAAAAAGAAAAAAATGTATTGCCCAAAACGCCTCAGAGGTTAGTTATGGGCGTCTAGGGAATAACAATTTTGCGGTGGCATATTCCCCCGTACCCCTTAGGGCGATGTTATCTCGATCGGCCCCTCTTTCATTATACACATCT